TCTGCACTAATTGGAGTTAAGTGGTCAGCTTCACGCCCCTGTCGTTTTACCCCCGAGGAAAGCCCCCGGTACCCATTGGATAGGAGGCTGGGTGGGCCTCAGAGCCAGTCTGGACGACGTAGAGAAGAAAATTCTTGACCCTACCGGATCTCGAACTCCGACCCCTCGGTCGCAGTCGCTGTACCGACTGCGCTATCCCGGCTCCTGAGGGGTAAAGCTCTAGGGAGTGAAAAGTGTAAAGGGGTATGAAAGGCTGCATTTTAGTCCATTTTTTATTTAACATTCCTACAGCCAAAGAGAGTCCAAGTTGTTATGAATGGAAGAAGCATAAAAGACGAAGGACTGTCAGAATTACTAGATCAAAGGAAACAAGCCATATTGCGCTGGTTACAGGATCCAAGCGAGTTAAATGGGAATAATCCGAGCCAGCAGGCATTGCAGGAATAGCAAGAGGGAATATCAGAGAGACAAAATTGGTGAGCTTGGAACGAACAGTAAGAGTGAGAACAATAAAATGTGATTCTAATGACATTTTAAAATAAAAGTTTGTGTTGCCTTAGAGACAGAAACAAGTGGACGAGTGTATCAGTGCAACTGGATGCTGAAATATAATATTAACACAAGAACATTATAGACCTGTACAGAGGAATAAATGACTTTAAGAGGGGTTACCAACCAAGCAGTATCTTAGTGAAGGATGAGAATGGTGATCTGCTTGAAGAAGTAGAAAGTCTTTGTGTAAGGATAAAAATATCAGTCCTGGAAGGAAAGAACCACTAAGAGGACCAAGACGTAGGTGGGGTGCATATTAACTTAAAAATAACTAAACTCCGTGGTTTTTAGTCCGCAAACGAACTATAGCGACCGCCGCTTGTCGACGAAGTTAGTGCCAACTTTAGCGGATAGAGGGTTTCATGTGGTCAGCGCAACGAATCCCCACGGCCGTTAATTTCGGTTTTCTAGACCGGAGCCGCTATTTCCTTGAAATAGCCTCTCAATTATCTTAACGGGGCTGAGTGGACCTCGTTCGAGACCCACTACTTCTCAGAAAATCAGGTTGCGCCTGGAATCGAACCCGGGACCTCTACTTCTGTAGCCCGGAACTCAGAGCACTAGACAACAGAGGCGGCCCGTAGTAACTTTTAAACAAAAGAGATTCATGTTCCTACGTTATGGAGAACTTTTAAAATTAATTGTGAAACCCATGATTTCGTCTCGAATTTGGAGTTTCGTATACCGTTTAACGATTCTGAATCAGTTGCGTACGTATGGAACTTGGGATTCAATTTGAAGACAGTGAATTAGGCATTTTTTTGTCTGTCTGAAACGTCTTTGAGGGTACGTTGTAACTTCAGTAGACAACCTTACGGAAGAAAAGTCCCCTGTGTGTTTAATGAGATTTCTGGCGTAGTGTGTTTGGTTCCAGTCGTATGTCGATAATAGAAACTAGTAACTTTCTAATAATGACGTCACGATTACGTCACTGTGTGACGACGTATCCACAGACGTTTTAGACCCGAAATAATGTGTCTCACGAATTTTGATAGGTTTATTCACTTTCAATACTTATTTATTCATAAGTGGAAGTCAAAATATATCGTGCGGAGGTCATCCGTGACACCTCAATGATCTTACATAGCCAGTGGCGGTTTCACATGTAGAAACGTATGTTTATGTAAAGTTGGGAGAAAATGCCGGAGATAAATATCGCCAGTATCTGATGATCCTGCCGTGCCCTCTTGTCCGCTTGTGGGAGAATATCTTAATTTCCTCTGTACTTTGTTTTGTCTATTTATTGTTGCCATTGTTTTATATCTAATAGAACATCAATTCTTTATTGCTTTAGCCAACACATAAATTCATGTTACATGTTTTGTTTAGTCAAAATGTTTAGAAAAATGCCATTAAAGCTCTCTTCTGTCATTCGACGCTATTTTATCCGAACTAATGACAGTTCATTCATTCTTCAATTGCTCTGCAGCCCTTTGTTGGGCCCTGGCCTCCTCTTCAGTTTTGTATTTTTTTTACACAGACGGTAGGACCTCTTGGACGAGTGATCAGCCCTTCGCAAGGCCGCTAACCTACAGACGGGACAACACAAACACAGAATAAACGCTCACACAAACATCTATGTCTTTGAGTTGAATTCGAACGCACTATCTCAGTGTTCGAGCCAGCGAAAACAGTTTGTGTCTCAAACCGCTCGGCCACCGTGATCGGCGGTCTATTTAACTACATTAAATAATCTGCAGAGAAACAATACGAAGTAATTCATTGAAAGAACATGATAATTATACATTTATTTGTACAAGACGCTGATCTAAAATAGGGAGTGTCTTAAGTTCAGGCTTTTCGCTCACAAATTAGAGAATTTGAACGTTTCCTTGCGGTCCACAGGTTCAGAAACACTACACCTTCGCACATTGATAGCCGGCCACCATTTTGTTTCGCTCGAGCGATCACGTCGAGATTGAAAATGAGAGTTTTTATTTGGCCCAGTGACCACTGACAACTATCTCACGCCTTTTGGGTGTTCAATTGAATCATTAACCCCGGGATATTGGAGATACATCTGCTTGTTTTTATTCTTTTAATTTCATGCTCTGTGAGTTCAGACATCCGCGTTGTATGTAGTGTTTCTACAGTCTCCTCGCCTCAAGGCCGTGACGGAAGTGTCCCATATGCTCATATTATATTGTCCCACATTGCAAAAGCAAATAACGATTCACTTCTGGTTTATATTGTCGTCAATGAGGACAGATGCTTTGCTGTGACATTGTTACAAATTTATACGAATTCAGACTTAAAACAGTTTTACGATACGCGTATGTAAGATAAAGATAAAGTTGTCCCTGTGCTTAACTTAATTAAACACTACTCAGTGAAGACGTGTGGAGGAGTGGATGTACGAGGGGGTACCCAAAAGAAACCGAACTTATTTTTTTTTAAACTTATTTATTCAAATTTTAAGCACAAACCTTCAATCCCCTTCAAAGTACTCTCCACTTACACTAATACACTTGTCTAGTCTTTTATTCCATTTTTCAAAACATTGTCTAAATTCATCTTCTGAGATGCTTGACAGCGCCTCCGTCGTTTTTTCCTTCACCTCAGCAACATCAGCAAAACGCTTTCCTTTCATGTCTCTTTTCATTCGAAGAAACAAAAAAAAGTTTTGATCATTTCGGGACTCTTCTTTCAAAGTACAGCATGCTTCCACGCGACCTTGTTTTTGTTCAGCAGTCAGCAGTCGTGGCACGAATTTCGCAGCCACCCTTTTCATTCCCAAATCTTCTGTCAAAATTCGCTGAACTGAGCTCCAAGTCACTCCCGACAGCTCCACAATTTCTTCAATGGTCCGTCGTCGATCTTCCTTGATGATTTCACGAATTTTTTCAACATTTTCATGTGTTCGGGCCATTGCAAAAACGACGAGCACACAAAACAGTTGTCACTATAAACTCTGCTGAAACTAGTCCTTACCTTCTGAAGCAACGGTAGTCGGCTTATCGACTCAGGAATGTTAGCTCTATGCGCTCATAGCGGCAAAACGCGGTACTACAAAAGCTCTGCCCACAAAAAAATTAATTCGGTTTCTTTTGGGTACCCCATCGTATAGCTCCACAGTTTCTAGAACTCGGCTCTAGTTGGAGGTGTAAGTGGTTACTTTCATGCCCCGGTCGCTTTACCACCGGGAATAGAGCCCCCGGTATCCATTGGATAGGAGGCTGGGTGGACCCCAGAACCAGTCTGGACAACATGGAGAAGACAAAATTCTTGACCCTACCGGAACTCGAACTCCGACCCTCGGTTAGGCGCTCTGTTTCTGTTCATAGGTGTAATAAAGTCCGCAGAACTAACTTTCCCCGTGGTTCTGTATGGGTGTGAAACTTGGTGTCTGACCTTAAGGGAGGAACATAGACTGAAGGTGTTGAGGAGAATATTTGGACCGAAGAGAGATGAAGTGACAGGAGGTTGGAGAAAACTGCATAATGAGGAGCTTCATAACTTGTACTCTTATCCAAGTATAATTAGAATGATCAAGTCAAGGAGGATGAGGTGGGCAGGTCATGTAGCACGAATGGGGGAGACGAGGAATGCGTATAGGATATTGGTGAGAAAGCCAGAAGGAAAGAGACCACTAAGAAGACCAAGACGTAAGTGGGTGGGTACTATTAAAATGGATCTTGGAGGGATAGGACGGAGTGCTATAGTCTGGATTGATGTGGCTCAAGATAAGGACCAGTGGAGGGCTCTTGTGAACACGGTAATAAACCTTCGGGTTGTATAAAATGTTGGTAAGTTCTTGAGTAACTACACAACTGGCGGCTTCTCACGAAGGGCTCAGCTCCATGGAGTTAGTAGCTACGTGTAATAAAGTTGCTTGCTAACTGCTTCACGCTGGCTTCTGGCTTGGCTTATTCTTCAACCCTGAAGACTGAAGAGACATGCTCTTCCTAAACGTCAGTTGACTTTCAACATACAAAACGGCAATATAATTTTAATTTTTAAAAATTTGGAAAAAGAAAGAGAACAGAAAAATTTTATATACATTTTAACTTGAATTAAAATTTAAAAAAAGTGCCAATTTTAGAAATCAAATTAACGCGTGTAGGTTAACAAACATTTTATACATACAATTAGAAAGACTGGTGATTTTAAATTTTAAACTACGGGCAGTGTAGCAGCTACGTAAGAATACACACCTGACGATGGCCATTTAGGGCCGAAACATGTAGTGTGGAGGAGGGAAAGAAGAAAGAACTACAATTAAATTGTTGCACTTAAGACGGAGTTTGTCTCATATATATTGTGTGAGTGTAACAGGATGCTCAAATATAATAATACAAAACGGCGTTATACCACAGAAGACAGAACTCTTCAGCCCAAGTTAAAGCTAGCATTTTGAAGCCATGTTTATGCTGTTGCCCGAAGTGCGTATCTGTTTACTTTGTAACCGTGAACTATGTAGCTGTGACATGTGTCCGTTTTGCTTTCAGGTCAACCCCACCGAGAATCCTGTTGACACCAACGTTGGCAAATGGGAACAGAAGGATACCACTCTGCCTTCTCAGCAAACAGCTATCGGTTCGGCACCGGAACACGACACGTCTGAGGACACGGTTGGTCCGCCAGACTTACCTGGTAATCCGTGTACACGGAAGTCCAGTAAGGCCAAAAGAGTGAAAAATTACTTGAAGAAATGCAAGGATGCTGCATTGGGTAACTCCAGCAGCGCTCATACTGAAGGACATGAGCATGCCGTAGTCACAACAACGGAACGGGATAAACGTGACGGGTCGCGGGTTCGAAACTCAAAGAGACGTAGTAATAGTGGGAACAGAGAAGTGTCTAGTACATCGTGGTATGTTGCGCCTAACCTTGATCCCCCGCCCAACCTTGTGTCTGTTGTGGAAGTGCTGCCCCCAGAACAGACAGATGGAACTGGCTCTGATGGCACTAATAACACTGTACACGTATCTGTTTCGATGGAGACAGAACAAAGGAAAGTCACTTCTGCCTCTCGTTCAAGCCAGGATGGACCAGGCGATGTTTTAGATTCGCGAAATGAAGGCGGAACAAATGTCGAATTTCTGGAGGCACGAGATGGACGTGCGCCTTCCGGTTGTGCTGCAGAAGACGTGGGTGACGCGCATGCGTCGCTGTGTGCTCCCACTCCATCCGATTCTACTGACGCAGTGCGTAACGCACCGGAAGCACCAGAGGTAAGTACTAACAAGTCAGTTATTTTCATGACGTGGGGGAAGGGGCACCGTGCTAAAAGCCAGAAGGTCGCGGGTTCGATTCCCGGTGAGGTCACTCGATTTTTCAATTGACCTAATCCTTCCAGACGCATTATGGCTCTGGGGTCGACTCAGCCTCTGACAGAAATGAGTACCAGGACTTCAGTAGTAGATGTAGGTGAGTGGTGACTTGACTGCCGGGGGAATCGCCCTCAGGCACCCAGTGGATAGGATTGGGCGGCCCCCAGAGCTATGGACGCTATGGAGAAGAGAGAAAACTGGCCCTTGTCGGAAACTGAACCCCGGTCGTCCCTGCCCTTCGGTATACCAACTGAGCTGTCCCGGCTGTACTAGTGGTGACGTACACAATCAAATAATAAGCCCTATGTTCTCCTCAGGCACTGCCGAGAAGTGTTAAGTAACTTAAGCGGTTAGTCGCTGGCTTCCCACCGCGGCGGCCCGGGCTCGATCCCGGGTCTGGTCAAGTGGGATTTGTGGTGGACAAAGTGGCGCTGGGGCAGGTTTTCTCCGAGTACTTCGGTTTCCCCTGCCAATCTTCATTCCACCAATTGCTCCACAATCACCCTCACCTATTATCTGGGGCTGGTACAATAGGCCAGAAGTGGCCGCAGTACAAGGGACTAGCCCCACCCCACTAGCAATAAAAACAAAACTTTCAGTCTCTTGAATCCCATACCAGAACACTGTACGTTTAGTACAAGTGTCATCCTTTGTGGGACTGTGATGGTGTTGGAGCCTGCAGTTCATTGATACGAAGGTCTACAGTGGTCCGTCTGACACTGGACACCAAGCCGATTTGAACCTTAGTTACTGATAGCTACTTCCGCCACTGGTTTGTTGACATGTTTACCCTGCGAACTCGTCCACGCCGGGTCGTGCATTGATTGATCTCTTCAATCTGTTGAGCATGCGTGATTTAATTAGCAACTCACTGAACCATAGAATTCAGGGTGGAGACTAAGACAAGATCCGGAGCAGTGGTTAGGAAGACCAGCCATCGTTCTTTCGCTGGCAAACCTATATGAGAGACTGGTACAACTAATTTATCTTGCTGGCCCGAAGAGGCTCGGATAAAGCTTGAAATGTTGAAGTACTTATAGGGATAGTTAAACGCATAAATTTGGGGGTGAAGTCACCCAGGCCATTCGCATTTGCCTGCGGTTGTGAAACTTCTGTCTTCAAATCCTCGCCGAATGTGGGGTAACTTGGTCAGCCGGTATAGCGACTAGGTTACGGGCTGGACGACCAGGTTTGAATCCTGGCTGTGGCAAGAAATGTTTATCTTTTCCTTGTCGTCCGTAGAGCGTGGGGCTCTCCCAGTCTGCTGTACAATGAATGCCAGGGGTACAACGCCGTGGTGTGAAGCTGAGCACTCAGGAAAGGTGGAGCTATACATTCACTGCCCCATACACCTTCATGGCGTAGTAATTAATTACCAGGGCCCGGATTTTGATGACCTGAAAATATTTAAAAAATGACCTATAAAATGACCGAAAGAATCCGGAAAAATGACGTAAAGGAGAAAAGAAAGAACACTTCGCTTCCATGTTATTCACATTTCAGAAAATATATGAAGAAACATTCCCTAAAATGGCCAAAAATGACAAGAAATACCCTTAAAAGTCCAAAAATTTACCAAAAAATTACCCCCAAAATGAAAAAATTACCTTAAACCTAAAAATGTCAAAAAATGACAAAAAATTACGTATAAAATTTACATTTCTGTAACCAGCAGCTCATATCCGAGATTTATATATTTAAGATCATCGCATAGGATACAAGGAAAACAAGATGGCATGTCATCAAAATCTGGGCCCTGTTAATTACGTATATAATTAAGGATATGGATAGCTTTACCTTCATGCAGCGTAACTGTAATATTCAGACACGAAAACGGAATTGTCTACGTTACCCACTGTACTGTGTGCTAGGATAGCTCAGTCGGTATAGTAACTAGAGTACGGGCTGGACAACCCAGGGAACATAATTCGATTCCCGGCAGGGAACCATGTTTCTTTTCTCCACAGCGTCCAGACCGGTTATGGGTCCCATGAAGCCTCCTCTCCCGTGGGGGGAATGTTTCCCCAATATTCAGTCACAATATCCGATATCCCAGTCGAGATTCGAACCAATCATTTCCCGAATATGAGTGTATACTATTAGCGCTTCTGTAACCCGCCCTTCCCATACCAAATGAATGCGAATTTTGTCGGATCGGTTATGGAATGTTTAAGATTAATATCTACTATATAATCAAGGGCCGGTCACGGTGGCCGAGCGGTCTAAGGCATGAACTGTCTTCCCTCACTCGGAAGCCGGGATCGTGGGTTCGAATCCTACACAAGGCATGGATGTTTGGTGTGTGTATGCGTTTATTCTGTTTGTGTTGTTTAGGTAGAGGCCTTGCGACGAGGTGATGACCCGTCCAAGGAGTCCTACCGTCTGCAAAATGATCATGAAACTGATAAATCAGCCTTGTGCTCCACAGTGGGAGCGGGAGGAGAGGAAATAAAAGAGAATCAAGAGAAGTTAAAAGTTAAATAGGAGCGAAAAGGAATGAACCCAGGAACTCAGAGTTTGCAGTTTATGGTGCTGAATGGAATTAGGAGTATGTAGGCGCCATCTTGCTGCCTATGTTATGAATACATCCGGAAATAAATGTCGTGAGATTTCTTCATATACTTATACATAAAACTCAGATGTGAGAGGTGAAAGTGTACGCATGATCGTCGTGCATGGGTTGCAAGTCGGTAGAGTAGAATTGTTCCGGGGTGCAATTCGTCGCGAGTGCACCAGAGTCGTCAGAACAGTGTTACAGCAAATCTCGTTGTGCGGTTGTGTCTATCAAGGGGTAGTTCAGGGTGGGTAAAGTGATTGATTGTATCTTGATATCTTAGCTTAGTTACTTTGAAAACCGCATGAATTATGGGGGCAATATATCGGGAATACACTATGTTTTACTTTTCTCTATAACGTTTATTTAAAACGTTCTTTTTATTTTTGTGAATATTTAAGGAATTACAGTCGAAATGACTGTAAAATGCCCATAGATTTTCATGGAAGTGTCCGTTACTGTTGTTCGATTTTAACCAAAATTGGAAGTTACAGGCAAATGTTAGAGAAACGCGCATATATGAAATTTCATGGAAATCCTTTCGGCCATTTTAGGGTTGGTACATGCAGTCACAGGCAAGTGGAAGCTAATAGGGGTATTTTTGCGACTTCGCAGATAATTGAGGAGCTATTTCAAAGAAATAGCAGCTCCGGTGTAGAAAATCTAAATTAACGGCCGTGGGGATCCGTTGCTCTGACCACGCGAGACCCTCTGTCCGCTAAAGTTGGCACTAACTTCGCCGACAAGCGGCGGTCGATCGGTCGGTATAGTTCGCTTGCTAACTAAAACCACGGAGTTTGTTTTTTTGTTTTTTCATTGCGAAGGAGGCAGAAATTGGAGCTCCTTTACACGGGTTCGTTGCAAGCTGTCGTTATTTCTGTACATGAGCCACATCAGCTCAGCCTCAGTTTGTTATCTGAGTTGACAGCTGAAATCATACAGAAATAAATTGCAGAATAAATGTTGGTTTTTGGGATTGGAAGTTATTGCGGCGAATATGGGGGTGCACTGTTGTGAGGAATATGACACCAAGTAGTGTTGTGGAAGTTTACCGATGGCTCATAGCAACGTCCTGCCTCTACCTTCAAATTCGAACAGTAAGTCAAACAGACAACATAGTTTGCTTGGTTTAATCTTCGATTTCGAAGATGGCCGCAGCATTTTCATACGAAACTACGTTTGGAGTTGAAATGAAGATCTTAACAACAGTGCTATATTCTTCCATCCGCGTTTTTTACTTGCTATTTCTCACGCAGGTGGTCCAGTGATCTTTAAATCGCGGCATAACTATAGGTAAATGTGAGTGGTTAGCTTTAACCTCCGACTGCTTTACCCGCAGTGGGAAAGCCGCCGGTACCTATTGAATTGGAAGTTGAATTGTCCCCAGATCTGGTCTGGTCACTGTTAAGAAGAGGAAATTTCTTTCTCTTGCCGTGAATCGAACTTCGATTTCCCAGTCATCCAATCCATGAGCTCGGTCAGCTTACATATCCATGGTTTGGGCTCGCTCAGTCCAATAGTAACCCGTCAAAATATTATTACGTGTGAGGTTGAAATGTATCTCGATTCCATTTATATTTTAGCCTATTTTCTTTATTTTGAAAAAATTGAAGTAGGTTTATGAGATCTCCATGCTATCTGCGTGTCTCTTTGTCCCCCCATAAACTTCTGAAAGGATGAACGAATCTTTATGAAATTTGGTATGTGTATCACGGTATCTGAAATCCCTCCCATCAGTATGTGTGTATATCCCCCTGTCGTTGCTAGGAAACGGTTCTGTAAAAACATTACCGCTGCGATGAATACACACTCAACAAAGGGGAGAATTGTTAGTCCTCGTCTTCTATGCGGTCCGTGTCGTGTAAAAGGAAAGCAGGCCATTAGTTCTTCCCATAACTTCTTATTATGTAGACAGAACTCGCTGGCCGTTGCAGGACATGAGAAGTAGATGTAATCGTTGTGTTTTTCTGTCTCGCGTTTGCGTCTTAAGAATCCCGTTACTTTTTGCAACGAGTTCCCATTTTAAACCGTGGGTTTAATTTAGAAGTAGCGACACAGAAATTGTAATTCATTTTGATCTTAATTTGTTTTAATTTTTTTTTCGAGAAATGGAATGGAAGTATTTAAGAGAAGTTCCTGTAATTATGTAATTAATTTTTTTCCTTAAAATATTCTGTAGTTTGAAGAGTTAATTTCATGCAGTTTCTTCTGCTTTCCAAGTACAACCAGTTTTGTTCTATACTCTGTAATCAGATTTTCGAGTATTTTAATTAAATAACAACATGAACCCTTCTTGCACTTACGAGCACCTGCTATCTGCTACCCCTGCCATTGTAATGGGTTCAGT